CCTTTAGTCCAACTCTAGCAAAAATGGATATATATAGTACCTGTGAGTAGATTCTATATAAGCTCTGATGGTGCAGTGGCATAGAGCACCATCTCGGAATAGGTGTCGTGTGAAAGTGAGGTTGAGGGTTCAAGACTGGCTGAGGACATTGTTTTTATATATTTTTTCCAGCACCTTAAATGCATCTGGGGCTTATAAACAGATGGTTTTGAGGTCATATAAAGCATTTCTACACCATTCAGAGATCATAGACCCACTCTATCCACTACTATCAACATCTACTATAGCACTATTTCCGTCTACTGTAGCACTATTTCCGTCTACTATAGTGCTACTTTGCACTAATTTGCATTATTAGTGCAAAATAGTGCAATTATTTTTGGGGACCTCTCGATTTTGCACTATTTTTCACTATCCAACTACTGTGTCTATTAAGAGCTAATTTGTACTGAATAGGTATAATTCGCAAAGGTGGTTTTTACAGATGAAACTGGGATGAGCTAGGAAAGGAAATGGTCCAGAAATGGAAGGTGGGCGTCAAAGGGGAGGGAATGGGCGGCAAAAAGGGGCGTCTGTTCAACGTCCGTGACAGTTGACCCGTACCCGTCGTACCCTTGGCACCCGGTGCTCACACCCTTGACCTGCTGTGACCCCCGGGTCACGGGTAAGGGTATTTCACGGGTTGGATCGAGGGTCACATAGGTGACACCAGAGGGTAGACCCATGCCATTGCCTATGTACGTTCACCCCTTGTTCTCTGTTCAGCGTGGTTTCCCCTTGTTTGCACACGGACAATAGCTCCCCTTGTTTCCCCCCTTCGCTATCGTCCTACACCCTTGTACTCGGTGCCCATGGCAACGCCATTGTCCCCTTAGCACTTATTGTTCGTTCCTCGTATATAGTCAGATCCCTTGCTACCTGGAGACTCTAGTTTTGACCTCTTGTCTCCAGGTAAGCCATCGTGTATTTCGCTCTGTAGATACTTCGCTCAATACACCTCTTGTCTCCAGTCCTGCCTGTTGAGCTCCGCTCCAGTCTCACTATGATCAGAGTCCATTGGCGCTCCTGCCTGCCTCGCTCGTCTCCCCTACTCGCTCGACAGTCAGTCGTAACAGTGAGCTTATAGATCGCAGCATACAATGAACAGCACAGATTCTGCAGTGTCGAGCAGGGCTCATAACCTGTTGAACCCGGGGGGCAAAAGCCTCTCCCACGGGTGGCAATGACAGCAGATAGCCTGCAACTCACCTAGAAGGGTTGTTGGTTATAAGAGGCTTGTTAGAGCAATGAGAGGAGATGTTCAAGTGAACTGAACTATAGATTGGGGGTGCAAGAGTCCCCTATATATACTACTGTACATCTGTGGCTACGTAGTGCTATACAGCACCTTCCCAGGATGCACAGTCGCACAGAGAAGCAGTGAATACACAGCGAAGCTGTCATCAGCAAAACTAGCAAACTATGGTCTCGCATGGCCACGGCGCCCGAAACTGGCCTGCCCCTTCCGGAAACCGCAAGCACCGCCTAATATCGGCCAACTCCCATCTCGCCTGACGGAATCTGGCCATCTCGCATCTGCGCGGATGGATCCCGGCAATGGTAGTTAGGTATGTATCTTGCGCTATTACTTGATACCATTTACTTTTCATTAGACAAGATGCGGATATATGTATGCTATGTCCAAGTCGCTACTAGCAGTCAAGTGCAAGACACCATTCTTGTGCATGATCCGGATTCCACCGAGAGGTGTACACCTCGCGACCAAGCACCAGGCGTCAACACTATCGCCGAGCTCGAGAAGCAGATCGCCGAGGAGCAGGCCCGCCTCGAGACCCGCTCTCATGACAAGCACGACAAGTCGACCGCCCAGCTCCAGATCGCCAGTGCCGGTAGCTACTCATAGGTAGACAACGAAGGTCTATTCACGAAGGACGGGTGCGCGGCGCCGAACAAGTGATACAACGACTCGGCATCCCTTGCTATCCGACACGGTCCCTATCAACGTCCCCGCTATGTCCAACACCGTATCAGTCGTACGGGCAAAGCCCTCGGCAGTGTACACGATATTCACAAAGCATGTGCGAGGCCTTGAGACTCGCAAGATCCTGGTTGCACTATTCATAGGACTACGGTGTGCGCGGAATAGACAGCTGCTACTAGTCGCTGCTTGGAGCGATTGAGGATAAGTCAGGGAGAGAGGGCATGGGTCGAGGGAACAGACGGGAGCGACTCTCGTTGACCCCGACATGGAAAGCGCTGACCGTCAAAGAGGGCGTCTATTTCGACGCATACGTGGCAATGTGTCTTGCTTTCCTTCACGATCCTCACCCCGCCTTCTTTCTACGTTAATTCTGCTGATGATTTGCTCAGATCTCTTGTAGATGGGATGCACATGTGCTTCTGGCTTGAGACGCACTCGATGGG